GAAAAAGTTAACTAAAATAAACAAAACGTTTATTTAGATCAAATAAATATTAAGTTGATTCAAATAAATTTTTTTTTTTCAAAGGAAAAGAATTGATTTGTATTTGGTTCAAACAAAACTGTAAAATTATTTGCGGTTGATTAAACTAAAATTTAGTTGTTTTAAACAAATTTTTATTAACTATTTTCAATTTTAAAATAATATTGGGAATAGTGATGTACAGTGAGATTGGGAATATTTGTATCAAATAATTTATGTATATACATAAGATGAAATAATCTTTCCTCTATGTATTTTGAAGAGGTATATCATTATTGTTAATTACATAGAGAAACTTGTATGGTTTTGAAGAGGTAAAACCCGCAAAATAAACGGATTCGTTAACCACGTAACACGCATGCGAGTATGAGCCTAACCAAACATTGACATGTTCAATCATTTCGATCCCTTTCCGCCACCAGTCCCGACGTCCAAAGACCCCGGCGCGTTCGCCATCTGGCTCGAATGCGGGGGGTTAGAAATTGAAATGAAAACAGAACTCGGGTAAGGGACTTACCCCTAAAACCGTGGTGGATATATATATATATATGAAAAGGGTGCCAATGAGGGCTATTAGGGGACGATATATGTTTTTCTTTTCTCTCCATTTCCGACGTCACTGACTTCAGGAAGTCAGTCACTCGTTGACGTGTCGAGATTTCAGGATTTCCCAATTACAGAAACAAACATCATTCAATTTAATTAGCCTTTCATCGGCTAAAAAGGGGTAACAATGATGATTTCTAAATGTGTATAATGATTCAATTTCTTTCTTATTTCTCTTAATTAATGGGAAATTTGTTTTCGTTTTAAGTAATTCGTATAGCAATTGTAGTTTCAATTGTTTATAATTAATCTCATTTCAGATTTTGTGCAAAAATTGTGATAAATTAAAAATTCTTTAAATTTCCTTTTGTCAATGTGAGTTATAAGCTGAATGTAATCCCTTTTCGATTATTACGACGATAATGGTCAGAAGCCGAACAAAATTTTCTATTATAGAATTAATCGAGCTTCTGTTCGGCTTCAATTCATCCGTTTCCGTTTTGAAATGCGAAAGGAACGCTATGGTCAGAGTAACTGAAGTTGAATTTTGAAACCTATAAAAAACGAAAGAAAATTTAATTAATTTGCTGTTCTTTAATATCCTATTTAGGTAAACAATTAGCAGGGCTTTGTTAGTTTTTCCTTAAATCGTCCTATTTTAAAAGCTTATTTTCACAGAAAATTAAAAGGTATTAAAATAAGTTGCAACGCTTCTTATTTTAATCCAATTTTGCTTATTTTAATACCAAAATGGATTAAAATAAGCAAAATTTGATTAAAATAAGAAGCGTTGCAACTTATTTTAATACCTTTTAATTTTCTGTGTTTATTTGAAATAAATGACAGTTTATTATTTCTAACTTTTTACTGAATTTATAATTTTTTCTACAAAATATATAAACACTTTATTTAATTTTGGAAAAATTTCCCACCCATGGGGGATCGAACCCAGGAACCTTGGTACTTCATGTCCTTGGACTCTAACAGCACAGCCACGTTGACTTACAGAACTTTGACCTAAATTAATGTTAAAACTTAGTTTATTTTTTTAATTTATATTTTTTTTCAATTAGGGAAAACTCTGTCGATGCTCTGACCAAAGCCCTATTTTACATAGAGCAAAGTGCAAATTTTTGCATTGGTAAATGAATTTTTAGTTTATGTATGACAATAATTTTTGAAGTGAACGATAGGTGAAGATAAGTGTTTTATTCGAGTATTGTTGTAAAGTTTTTGCGGTGCAGGTATTAAGCAGGTCACGTGGCGACCCGTGTCACACAGGATGTCACGGTTTTGTCGCATTTAGCGCCTTTTCTATGAGCTATTCACTTCGTGGTAAAAGCATGGGCGTTTCCTTTTTCGTTTAAGCACTCACCCGGGGAGAACTCGTACCATGAGAAATAAATTTAGGTCACTAACAGAAACAAAAAAAAAGAAATAAATAGAAGCTTTTTCTATAGTAAAAATTATTTGTATTTTAAATAGATGAAAAAATATCAATATTACGCGCAGAGAAATGTTTTATTTTCCGTTTAGAAATTTGCCAACCTGGTCCTAACCTGGTTGAAACAGTGAACCAGACCGGGGCCAAACCAGGCCCTGGTCGAGCCTCGGTTTTAATCGGGCTGAAATAGGGCTTTCTTCTGTGGCCTATTCCCGACGTGGGCCCTGACAGGGCCTTTTTAAATTTTCTGCACTTAAAACAAAATAAAAATAAGATTTTAGAACTGTTTGATAATTCATCTTCTAAATAATTTATAAAAGTTGGATTCTTTTTTTCAAAAAAAAAAATATATTCGTAGTCTGAAAAGTTTTGAACGATTTGTCAGAAAATAAAGTTTTATTGAAAAAAAAAAAAAAATGAAAAAATTTATAGATGTTGTCAACTTTTGTTATCGAAACTGTATTTATATAAATCTTTGTATGAGTGATTAGTAGTTCCGGCGCGAGTTTTATATGAGAAGTAGAGAATAGTTACGATCCATAAATTTTCAAAACCAAACAAGAGGAGACATCATGTGGACTCATTGGAAACGCCTGTTTTATTCGATGCTTTTTAAAGGAGCGGCCCTTTGCCAATTTTTATTGTTGACAATTTCAACTATTTTGCCTACAATGGAGAGTAATATTTGACAAAAGATGAGAAGGCAGTGACCGTGATTGAATTTACAATAGGAAACATTCTATATAAATTCTTCTCAATTAAAAGCTGTAGCTATTATAACAAAACTGAGTTTAAAAGTCATCAAACTTTGTTGGGAAATTTTTTTTCTGTGATGAAAAAAAAATTTGTATCAATTTTTTATTTGATACAAATTTTGAGTATCAATTCGTTGCAATTTAATATACCTTTTATGTTAACAGTGAATTCTTTTATTATAATTATTATTTCTGCGACCATATTGATATATATTTTTTTTTTTTTTGATGAATGTGGTTGTCATTTTTTATTTCTTTCTCTATGGGTGAAAATTCGCGAGAGAAAACATATCGAATAGTAAATCAAATAATTTTCCCGTGAAAGATGTGAGGCAAAGGTCGGTAACGTATGCATCTAGGTTAGAAACTCGACCACCAATGGTCCCTAGAACGATAAAGTGCTTCGTTGTCGGTGAATTCAGTATAACAGGGGTTTGGGAATTTCACTGAAGTAACTTAGGAACTTGATTCAAATACGAAAACATGGAGTGAGGGAATTGAGAGGGAGAGAAAGAGAAACAAGGGATGAGATAGAAAATCGAGGAATTCTGATATAAAAGAGAAAGAGGAGGACTTTTTTCATTGGCGTAGCTAAAAAGAAAATTGTAATTTTTATCACAAGAAATTATTATCATTTTGTCAAAAATTTATAGTGAAAAATTAATAATCCGATAGTCATTTTTTTTACTGAATAGTTAGTAGAAAAATTACTATTTAAATTGACTTTTTACTATCGAATTAATTTTATATATTTATTACGTAGACTGAAAAAAAAAATTTATTTAATTCAAGTAATTAGTTGACTATTATCAAATAAATATTTACATAAACCAAATAAATATTTACTTGAACCAAATAATTTTTTTTACGTACAGGTTAAAAAATGTTAATTTTTTAAAAATTTAAAATGTCTTTATATTGAAAAGAAACGTTTTTTAAAACGATTCTGGATTTTTTTTTTGAGGGGGTGGAACAATTTCAAGTTGCACCCTTGTGATAAATACGCCACTATAGCACTCCTATGGTGAGGGATGACACTAAGGGAGGAACAGGGAAAGAGAACCCGAGCAATTATCTTAATGGAGTTGTGGACACCACTAGACTTTATCGATTTACGTAGAAAATAAACTTTCCATGAATGTGTCGAAAGCACGGCTAATCCTCTCGTTGTCCTACCTCAATTTTGTTACAAAAAAAAAATACATGCGCGATTTTTTTTTTTAATAAAATTAAAATTATTAAAAATCTCATAAAAATTATATTGTTTGTTGATGCTACAAATATTTTATTCGTTTAACAAATCTGGTTTGTTGCTGCTACAATTTTTTTTGTACATCTAAAAGATCTGGTTTGTTGTTGTAACAAATATTTTGTTCATCTAACAAATCTGGCGAGAAATCTGGTTTGTTGTTACTAAAAATATTTTTTTAGCCTAACAATTTGAAATTGTTGTGATAACAGTAAAACTGCAAAAAAATTATTTTCACAACAAACAATAAGATTTATTAGTACTTATTATTCGTTTATTGAATTCAACTATTCCTTTTTCTTCGTGTACATATAAAATCCCAATAATATTTTTTTCTATGGCATAATATAGATGAATAATAAATATTGCAAAATGAAGCGATAAACCGTCGATTTTTGTCGTTCAACCCACACGAAATATGGGACGGTGGAATGAACAATCCACTCATCAGAATCCACGTGTCCATACACGTGTCAGAGCGTGCCAGAACAACTGGTGCTTTTTCTGAAGTGTACGGTGTCTGTGAGTCTCCTGACACCATGTGCCTTCGAAAAAAAAAAAAATAATACATTATTCTCTAATAATTTTAACTTATGCACATACGCGCCTTTTCCACACAGATTACATCGTGTGACATGCGACCATCGACATTGTTCATGATTAAATAGAGTATATAAATAAAAGAGCATTTTGACAGAGAGAAGCCGGGTCCTTTAAGTCACCCGCTGCGATTGCGAATCTCCTTACTTTCAATTTCACACCCATAAAATTTATTATATATTTATATGATGAGTAGTTTCTCAAATTTGTTTTTCATTATGGTGCTTTCAATTATTATGTTTAAATAAACATGTTATACGGATAATAGAGATTTATTTCAATCTAATATATTTTTTAAGTGTATCAGTTAAATTTGATTATTTATCTTAACTTATTGTTTAATTAAGTATTTTCTTTTTTGTTTCAGGCTCTGAGAAAGAAATCAAATGCCTTACACTTGGTGATGGATAAAACACGTGAGTTTTATTATTACTATTATTATTTTTTTTTACTTATTTAACAAAGAAAGAAGTCCTTATGGGCTAGAGAGTTCTTTTATTTTTTTTATAAAAATTATTATATTGTTTATATAATTAAATAAATTTTATTATTTTAAATATTTGTTATACCTATTATTTAAATAATTTTGTTAGACAAATTTTATTATTTATCTTTGATTTATTGTTTAATAAAGTCTATTTTTTTTTTATTTCAGGATCAGAGAAAGACACCGAAGGCAATATCCTTGGTGATGGACAAAACACGTGAGTTTTATTATTATTATTATTATTATTATTATTATTATTATTATTATTATTATTATTATTAATATTATTTTATAATTTTTTATTTGTTTATTAATTTATTATTTAAAAATTTTTAAATATTTGGTATATTATTTAAATAATTTTGAATAATCCCTTTGATGGTGATTAGAGTTTCAAAAGTCATATATAAAAATATGAAATAGCCCGCATCCTTGGGATATTTTCTATGATCTAAGGGTAGTTTTCTCTTCACTTTAGTCACGTGGTATTAAATAAGTTGACGTGTAACTTGTTATAATCGCATGTAACAAAAGCATTTTGTCAGTCAAGAGTGCGTGACCAACTGGCGAATAGATATCACGCTTTTTAGAACATATGGGTATAGTCCTGTAGGACATTTATATATATATATATATATAGATGGTTCAAGTGCCTTTATATATCCTTAAAAATGCTTCTATGAACGATATATACGCTCTTCAAAAACTCTAATGATCATGATGGCAACCATGATACGATCATGATAGCAACATGAAAGGAGAACGTGAAAATATATAAAGGGGGAACACATGATAAGGGGGGTTAAAAAAAAGAAGTCTTTTAAGTTCAATTTTCAAACAATTTACATGAACTATTTTACATTGGTTTATAAAAATCGGTTATAAATTTAATATATTAAATATTAATTCACTAAATGTAATATATTAAATATAATATATTTTAAGAGTAAAAATTTATTTATTGTTAATTTTAAGAAAAAAAATATTGTTTGATTTTACAAGTTACTTTTTAGCTGTAATAGTTATTTGAAAACTGTTTTTTTTACAATGTGGTATATTAAAACATATACAATACTATGAAAAAAGGTTTTAAAACACCTCTTATAGCTGAAAATTAATTTCGTCTTAAATTAATATATTTTTTCACTTAATCTGAAAATAATACGGGAAAAATTATTTAAAATTTAAAAACTTAAATATAAAAGGAAAATAAATAAAACTATAATGGAAATTAAAAAAAAAACTCACGTTCTTCCTTGATCACAAGAGGACTTTTGGTTTCTTGCTCTCGTTCTAAAACATGAAAAAAAAGAGGGAAAATTTACGAAATGAAAAAAAAAAGAAATTAAAACTCAAAATGAAATAAATAAAGTTGCGTATAAAAAGAAATTAGAATTTAACTTAAAAATAAAATTATAACAATGGTAAAACTTAAATAAACAGTTGCAATCGACGGTAGTTTTTTATATAAAAAAGGTAGTTTCAAAACAAATTAGTCTTCAACAATTGGTGGTAGATATATTCAATCTTTGGTAGTTTTTGGAGTATAGTAATTTTGATAGATGGTAGTTTCAAACAATAATAGAGACAATAGTTGATAGTTTAATACAAAATAGTGTCAGTTATACTGGTAGTTTCAATCGATGGTAGTTTCAATCAATGGTGGTTTGCATCTATTGTAGTTTGAATCGATAGTAATTTGAATCGATGATAGTTTCAACCAATGATAGTTTCAATCGACGGTGGTTTGAATCGATTGTATTTTCAACCAATGGTAGTTTCAATCGACGGTGGTTTGAATCGATTGTAGTTTCAACCAATGGTAGTTTCAATCGACGGTGGTTTGAATCGATTGTAGTTTCAACCAATGGTAGTTTCAATCGACGGTTGTTTGAATCGATGGTAGTTTCAACCAATGGTAGTTTCAATCATTGGTACTTTCAATAATTGCGGTAGTTTCAATCATTGATAGTTTAAATTTACAAATACTTAAAAAAATATAATTTTTAGTAGTTTTAATCGACAGTTTGGAATAAAAGGAATTTTGGTTCAATAAACAATAGTAGTTTTAATTAATTCTACTTTCAGGAAATTAACCATTAGGTGTTGACATCAACATATCCATGGAATACTATTTCTGAAGGTTAATAGTTTCATTTAATACTAAATTCAAACAACGAATTTTTTCCCACATACAATGATTGTTTGCAAACTTGATCCTTTTGTCATATATATATGTGATATAATTATATATAATATGTAATCTGAATCGTCGTCGCAAAACAAGCTTTCTGTCTATTTTCCATTTCTGTTACATTTTTTTTCACGATGAAATTTACGTGGGAACCGACTATATATATAGGGTTAGTTCTCTCTCTCTCTCTCTCTGGTTGTTTTTGGGGTTGATTTGAGATGAGAGCTGCGCGAGGGCGTGTTCGTGGTTTACTGGTGCTCACTTTGACGGCACGTGACTAACAAGCGATGAATGTTTGTGTAACATAATCATACACCACATTTATATACACAGAGATATTATAAGGCAAACCACTTTTTTCCGCCTACATTTGTCTACTATTGTTACATCTGTTGTTGTTAAGCATTTTCAAATTGGGGACTCTTGAGTGGCTATTGATGGGAACTAAATTGTTTTTCTCTCGAGAGATTATTATTATTATGATGTTGATCAAATGTCAAAATTGAGTGTTGCAAAAAAAAGTTAAGGTTGAGAAATTGTTGTTTTAGTTGTTCATTCCTTTTGATATGTAAAAAATAAAAATATTTTATTCAAATAGTCGGTCACTTGACTGTTAAATAAATATTTCCTTGAACGAAATAAATTTTATTTTAGTCAATTAAAATTTGTTTAAAATACAGAATTGTTTAAAATATAGAATTGGTTAAAAATAAGAATTATTTTAATTCAAATAAATATTTATTTGATAATAGTCAAGTTATCGATTATTTGAATCAAAAAATTTTTTTTTCATAGTATAGAAATAATTTTATTCTAATGATTTTTAAATAAAGTATCATTCCTTGGTGAATATTCTTTAGAAATCAGATCCGATGTGCAAATATCAATCACAATGACATGGTCCATTCTCGATTTGTATAACCGTGTTGATAAGGTAAATATCGGTCACTGCAAATGTTACACAGCATTCTAATCTTATCGCGCTCTCAACTACTTGACACTGCCAATCACGAGATGCCAACTCTCTTAAATGGAAAATTGATCACATATATTCTAACAGTACAGGACAAAACCAGTTTTATCTTTCCTTTTTTTTTCCTTAAATATACATATATTACAATAGGGAGTATAAATTAAGAATTTTTGAATTGATAAAAGAACATGACATAATAGTGAAAACAAAAAATATATAGAAGTTTGAAGTAAATATATATATATCAGAGAAAATTGTAAGATATTAATTTTTTATTTATTTTTATTTACTTTAATTTATTTTAATTTAATTAATTTTTTTTTTATTTTAATATATTCTTTTCATACTTTAATATAATTTTCACTTATTTTAATCCAATTCGACATAAAAATAATAATGTTACATTTTATTTTAATACCTTACAATTTTCTGTGATAATAAAAAAAAAGGTTTTGGCATCATAGTTAATTTTTATAGCACTTTCTCACGATTACTATTGAAAAAGGTGAATCAACCATTTTAGAAGAACTTTATTTGAAGAAATAAAAAAAAGGACTCATCGATCAAAATATGAGTCTCATTTGAAATAGGATTCGAAGATAAAAAAAAAGGTGTCTTTTCCTGCGGGTTATCTAGTAACTCGATAGGGGTTTGTGAATTAAGAAAATGTATAAGTTTCCCATATTTTACTGAAACTCAATTTTAGAGTTTTTTTTTATATAATAAAAATTTGTGGATATTATTTTCGATCAGTGGTAGTTTTAATTGTTTCGATCGTAATAATAATTTTCAGTTTACATCAGTTGTAAATTATTTTATCAAGGAAATTTTTTCAATAAAGAAAAAATGTTTTTGATATATATAACTTAATAGAAAATCAATTTGAATCAATTAATTCGAAAACAAATATAAGGGTGAAAATTCGTCGATAACCGATAGCAAATGACGTTAGTTTTTCGATGTATCAATGCGAGTGGTCACGTGGGGATATATGGGAGTAGAGAAAAGATGAGCTTGGTTCAAGAGGAAGGAGGAAATTGGTCCAGGAAGGGGAATGAATGACCGTAAGCATTTCCGAGGAAAAATATACTCGTCTATTTAAACTCTATGTGTGTATATGTACTTGGAAAAGTTTCATCCTTTGGGAAAGTATATATGTATATATATATAGTTGAATCTTCCAAGTTTTCTAGCCAGAGGAAAACCTTCGACGATCTTAGGTCCTCGTGAAATCAAAAGAGGTGGTGGGAGTCTGGGTCGAAGATGAAGTTTGTTGGGTGGAGAAGATCCTCATTCGAGCAAACGAGCTATTTACTGCCAGCATCCCCGAATGCTTTTACGAGTTACTTTCAAATACTATTTCCCGCTTATTGAAGGAGACACAATTTTTTTCTTCTTATTCAATCTTTTAGAATTTTCAATTTTGAAATAATTTTCATGGAATTTTGGTTGGACAAAATTAATTTTTCCAAGTTCTCTCATTTGAAAAAAAAAATTTTGGAGAATTTTTTTTTTTAAGAAAAGTGAATCGATTTTCTTTTGAAATCTAAAAGTATAAAGAATAATAAAAAAAAAAAGAGAGAAAAAAAAACTTTCATCGAAGGCTTGAAGCTAACAAAAGGTACCAATCTTCCGATTCTTTCATTTTTCTCGAGTCTTCCTTTTTTTTCTCTCTTTCTCTCTCTCTCTCTCGACTTGTGTATACGAATATCGGTGACCATCCGCCATTTTCCTTTTACCCTCGAGCAGTCACCCCTTATCCATCCACCCGTTGCTTCCACCCTCATCGCCATTGCGTCTCCTATGGTAACCATTTACCAAGAAGTCTCTTAGATATTTTCACTTTTTTTTTCCTACTATTTCCCTTCTATTGTTTTTAGAAAAAAGAAGAAAAATAAACATTCTTTTCTTTTGCAAGTGGATGTATTTTTTCATATTTATTTTAAATAATAGAAAATTTACAAAATTGGTAGTTTTTATAAATAAAAAAAAAAGAATTGGGTCACATTTTAGGATAAAATTGTAAAAAAAAGGAGTGAATTTATTTTTGTGTGTTTTCTTTAGATCTCGATAAAAAAAAGAGATGTGTTGCCTTGTCTTACATGTTGAATAAGAGTGCAAGTCGTAAGTTTCCTTCACGCATCATACCGATCTGATCGAGGTTGGGTTTACGTTTAAGCACATCCGCTATTGCACGCGAAGCAATATCGTATTGATTGCTAGGCGGCCGGGCCTCCGAACACATTACATGATTAAACCGCCCCAACACAGCAGAGAAACCGACGGCCTTGTAGCACTTACCTTATTAAAATATCCACCGCCACCACCCACTTTCACCCCTATACACAAACATAAAGCCCTTTCACGAGAGACCTCCTTTTAGAAAATGTCCTTTTCCGGTCAATTTTCACGTGTCATTTCAGTCTCAAGTACGTCCACTTCTTCTTTTGCATTATATAATTTTTTTTATTTCTTTTCTATAAATTGTTATTTTAAATTAACATTTGTTTATTCTTCATTTGTTTATTAAAAGATTATTTTCGTTTTCTTCTTCTTTTTTTCAAATTTTTTTCCTATATAATATAAAAATCGAGAAAGTATGATGAACAAGAAAATCCACTCTAAATTCTAGATTCTTTTTTAATATATTCTACTCGAAAAAAGATAAATTTTTCTCAGAACAAAATAAATTTTTATTTGTTTCCAATAATTAATTATTTGTGGCAAATAAACATTTACTGGGAACAAATAAATGATTATTTACACCAAATAAAAAATGTTATTAGGCTCTGATACAAATATACGCGTGTATTTAATTTTATTTGTTTTAAATAAAACATTTTTCTGGAGTGTAGAATCAGTGAGATTTCACTGATAAAATAGCTGGAATTTAGCAACTGAATCACTTTAGTAACATTTTCACTGAAATTCTGTCATTCATTGAAAATCAGTTGCCTATTTCACTGAAAATTAGAAATTCTTAACATTTATTGAAAATAAAATCTACTTTATCATTAGCCGGTAAAGCAGATTTGACTGTTTTAATCGGTAAAGAATTCTAATTTTCAGTGAAATTTGACTGAATTTCAGTAAAACTTACTGAAGTGATTTAGTTACTAATTTTCTAATTATTTCATCAATGAACTTTCACTTATTCAAATATAGAGAGCAATAAACTTAACTATTTTATTATAAGTATATAGATTAATTTTTAATAAGAATTTTATTATTAAAATATTCTCAAGTGATTAATAAATGTTCTCATACATATTTAGATATAAATGCTTTGCGAATAATTTGTCGGAAATGATAAAAAATATTTAAAGATACAATTTAATTTTTGTGATTATAAAAAAAAATTTGTTTTTGATAACAGAGATTCATTATCTTTTGCCGATGAAAGTAAATATACTTTGAATATACACATATATGCGATATAGAGTTTTATCTAATACTCTGAATTCCAACTATTTTTACGTAATACGATTTTTTTGATCGATTGTGATTCTTTTCAATATATACAATGAAAATTTTGCAAAAATTGCGAATTATTATTTTAATGCATAAAAATTATTAGAATATTATTTAAATAAATAATATAATTATATTATTTACATGTAAATTTAATTATAAATTTTATATATAAAAATTTATTTTAAAAAATATATATAGAAATGTAATTTTTGTTTCTTATATAAATTTTAAAATGGATCTATTAAACATTTATTGTGATATAAACATTTTATGGGAGATGAATCGTATACTCAATTTCTTTTTTTCTTTTTTTTTTCTTTTTATTATTTTCAATAACTTAATTTATTCGAATTCAATAATTGCAAAAGAAAGAGAATGAATTTAATTTTTCAGCAAAGAAGTATTTTATGTATTGAGAATTTTAATGATATATTGAAAAGAAATCGTGTCTCGAATCGAATTATTTATTCTTTCATTTATATCATCATATATTAAAATGAAGGAAGCAGAGTCTGAATGAAGTATATTTTCTCAATTCATCTCTCCTTTTTTTTTTCTCTGACGTTTAATTTTTTTAGAAACATGAAATTTTCATATCTAATAAAAAGTGTGTCACAGTAAATTAATTCAGAAAACAAAAGTTTTGTTCAATTATGGAGAATTTATTTTTATAAATATTTCAAAAATTGATTCAGAAAAATTTTTATTAGTTTTTGAAAGCTAATATTTTTTATAGTTATTGAGTAAACGTTAATTACTTTCTATTGATTATATTAACACCAAAGTTCATTGTTACGTTAATTCAATTTGGAATTATTAATTATTAATTATAATTAATAATTCATTAGTGAAATCGTTTCTTATGTTTCGAAATTGTTGATTTAAAAAAATTTATTTTCGATTTCTTGTTCATCATTCTTTTTTCCTTTTAAAAAAAAATATTACCTTAAAAATTATGTTTTTTTTATTCAAAATTTTTAATTATTTTTTTCTGTTGGAAATGTATCTGTAAAATTGTAAAAAAAAATGTTATTTCTATGAAGAGATGATTATAATAGTAAAGAATATATTGGAATGGAATCTCGGTTTATAATTCGCAAAAGTGAATTTGATTATAAAGAGGGTTGCAGATTGTTAATAACTTGGTTAGGAGTCGCGCCTCTTCAATATCCTCTCGCGTGCATAATTAAGATACTCGTACGACCTTGCTCCACTCACCGAGATTGAGGGGATGAATAACTTAAAGGGCAGGTGAGCACTATACGACAAGAATGCCGGAAATAAGACTCAGATCTTGAGTCGCGTTTTCACATCAAAAAAAGATTTTCACATGCATCACACATATAAACTTTTTTTTTTTTTTGTTTTGTAAATATATGTGAGAGATAATATAATTTATTCACACTCATGTGTGTTGTTTTCTCGCAGTGAATATAGTACACACATGCAAATTAAAATATTCACATATTAGAGTGAAAAATGTGTGCACAATATATATATATGTTTACGTGAAAGCAAGTTCTAAGATTGCTCTATAGTGCCGCGTGTATTATGCACGATTTCAGCAATCTGTTGCATGCAAGTCATTTTTGAGTAGCTTTTTTTTGTTTCTATTTTGATTTTTTTAATTCTAGTAAAAGGTGATTTACACTTTCTTCAGAAATTTGAGAAATTTTTTTTTTGTAATAATTTAATAAATTATAAGAAAATTTACCAATTTCGCAGGAGTCAATTTTTGATAGAGTGGTATCTGGTTTTTATAAAATTCCATGTTTCAAACAGTTATTAAATTAATTTATGTATAATTGATTAGTTGGTGTTAGAAAATTGTTAATAGTTTTTTTTTTTTGGCATTGGTAAAGTTGTTTCGATTCTTGTAGGTTTCGGTAAAAAAAAAATTGTGTCAGTTTTTATTTTTTGTTATTGACTAAAATAAATAAAAAAAAAAAGTATTTAACAAAGCTTGTTATACACATTCTTGACAATAGGAATTCTTAAGTGGGCTACTGTGTTACTTAAAATGTCTACAGTAATCTTATCAATTTTCTAAATCTAGAAAGCTTATCTTAAAAGTTAACTTCTATAGGTGCAAAAAAAAAAACTTATTTCTTATCTTAACTATAATAATTAGATTTTCCACTGATGTGAAAGTCATTTATAATATGTTGTTATAAAAAATATATTACATAGTTTATTTATCATTGCGATAAATTTCAAAAATACTAAATAATAAATATATTATTAAATAGTTATTTTAATAATTAGTTATTTTAATTAAAAGAGGAGAAAATACTTTTGTAATAATTTAAAAAATATTTTTAATAAAATAAATTTTTTTTTCTCTTCTTTTTTGCGTGTGTATTAGAATCCAAAAGATTAAAAATTCTTTGAAATAAAATTTTACATAGTATAGCCAAAAGACAAAGCTGTGAGGAGATTTAAACATGACACAGGGACGCCGAAAGCGAATGATAAGAAAATCGTCTTTTAAACTCCGACATAATATAAACATCGTGTGAGCAATTGTTCATTATTTCAGCAAAACAATGATAATTTTATTGAAATTCTCCTCTTTAAAGAACATTTTTTTTTTTTGTTTATTTTTATTTTCCATTTATATATCGCAATTGAATTGAATTTTTTTCTGGAAAAATAGATCTTTATAGAATAAAACAAAATTATCTAATTTAATATTACTATTTAAAAATATATATATAAAAAAGACTAATTTACAATAAATTTATTCAATTTTTATATTTTTTAAATGTGTAACATTAGGAGAATAAATGAGGAAGTTTTGTATATCGGTAATGATAAATATTCTGTTGCATAATTTCGATAAGATAAAACCATATATATATTCTTATACATATATATATACTTTATCAAAAAAAATTTTTGTATAAAAAGATAAATTTCGTGTTCTTTAAAATATTAATCGTCACATAAAAAAAGGGCCGGAAATATTTTTGAGGGACAAAAATTTTATTCAATTACTGAAAAAGTTATTTTAGAAGAAAGAATTCTTCTATAAAGATTGTTTTAAATAACAACACTATTATTTTGATGCAAAATTTTGTGTAACAATTGTTATATTGTACAAACGATGATAATCTGGTTTGTAGCGAAAACAAAGTTTTTGTTTTCTCAACAGTTTTTTTTTTTACTCTTGTTACAACAATTTCCAATTGTTAGACGAACAAAAAATTTGTTGCAACTACAAACCAAAACATATAATATAAAAATTGTTACGGAAAATTTTATGTCAAAATAATATACAGCTTCTTTTTCAAAATAATGGGAAAATAAAAATATAGTTAATAAAATAGGTAAATATTTTTTTTTTTTTTGCATAAAAGTGTTATTAAAAGTGTAAAAAAAAAGAAGAGGAATTTTACCTTCGAGATTTTTATTCCTCGCGAGAAGAGCAAGAAGAACGTCAGAATTGGGCGAAGCGTCGGTGAGATCAGCGGGATCGTGATGCGACGGAGGAAGAACTGGACCAAGTGGTGGCATTGTACCCGAGGGTGGACGGGGCATCATCACCGTTCCAGAACCAAGTAATGGAAGTGTTGAAAGACCACCAACAACACTTGATTGATGTAGAGGATTATGGGACTGTGGCCCATTATTTTGTGCCGATTGTAAAGCAGCCGACATGGAAAGATCAACACCACCAAGTAAAACTGGTCGACAACTTCCGGTTCCAATTGCAACACCGGATGTCACCGCCGGGAGGATTCCACCACCTCCCGGCAGTGGTGCGTACGGCAAATACAGCTCCAGTCTAAAATTGTTTTTTACCCGATTAAAAAAGACCCAAAATCTCGCACCACAAAAAAAGGATGCACTTCACTTTTTAAAAATTAGAAATTTTCATTTATCTCCTTTGAAAAGAAGTCATATAGATTAAAGTCTTGTCATTTTTTTTTTTTCAGTGTTATTGAATTTTTGAGTGAAATTTTAATTGAGATGATGATGATTGTCATTGACCGACGGAATTGGATTGTCTTATAGTTTCGAACAATGATTTTGTCTTTTTTTCTTTCATTTGTTTTTAGTTTTCTCAACTTTTTTTTTATTTCTCTTTCTCTTTGATTTTCTCTCTTTTTTTTTAATTAACTTCCTTGGTTCCTTTATCTTTTCCTTTAGGATATCGATTTTCACCTTTTATAATTTTATTCACTTCCGAGAGCACTTTCACTGAATGTAAACAAACATCTATCGATAATTTAACTATGTCCTTCGCGCACCAAATTCGTTCGGTAAAATTGAACTCGATTTTTGTAGGATTTTTTTTTTTTTTTGGAAAAAGGTAAAATTTCAAATATTGTTGCCACGTTACTGTTTGTGGAAAATTAATTTTTTTTATTTTAAACAAGAAAAATTGTTTTCCTTTAGAAAAAGATTCGTTTTTCTTTTGAAGAAAACTGTTTGTAGAAAATCAGTTCTTTATAGGAATATTTCTTCTTTTGGAAAAATGTTTCTTTTGAAAAATTGCTTCTTTTGGAAAATTGTTTCTTTTAAGAAATTGTTTAAAAAACAATTTATTTTCATAAACAATTTATCAACTAAATATTTTTCTTCTTTTTTCTTTAAATAATATTTCTTTTTAAATAAAACTTAACTGGATTATTTGTAATCCAATAATTTTTAGGGTAGTAAAAAAAGCACTCGTTTTTGGGGGATAAAAAGAAGATGAAAAGATTTTTGAATGAAAGGAAAAGTTTGAAGCTTTGAGAGAGAGAGAGAGAGAGAGAAAGAGAGAGAGAGTAAAGACAGTCCGAGCGGGCCTGAAGGCAACCGCGTACTCATCCACTGGCGGTTGTGTCGAGCGACGGCCCCAACCTTATCAGCTCGACTTACTGGTCCCAGTTTATCTCGACCATAACCTTGCTTATATGCTACCGATCGACCGTCAATTTGCTTTGCGAAATCTAGAGCGCGGGAATTTCTCTTTCATCTTTTTTTCTTCTCTTTTTCTTTACAAAATTACTCGTATCTTCTTCTTCTTCTTTTTCTTTTTCTTCTTTTGTTTCAGCAATTTTTTTTCCGTACTTTTTTTTTTCTTTAGCTAATCCAAGATTTTTTTTTTCACTTTATAGACGTGTTTTCTTAGTCTTCGATTTATTATCCTTTTAAAGGTTGTTATTTTTCAAATTCTTTATGGTGACGTTTCTGTATCTGATTTTTTTTAGCAAATTTCCAATTTATTGTGAAATTTATATTTAATGACATAATTAGGATTCCCTTTATGAATTGGGAAATTTATAATATGAAAAAATTCATAAAGTGATGTCATATATTCGACGATATTAAAGGATTTTTATTAGTAAATTTTAGTAAGTTTTCTTTTTAATGTTAGTATTTATATCCTTGAATTTCTATTTTGTTTTGTATTTTCTGGATTTCGAGATTTTTTCTTTTAATAATTTATCACTGAGTTTATCACTTTGCTTCTTGATTCGTAGGTTGTTTACAGCTGTGAGGTTTTTGTATTTTATTTAGATTCTAAGACCTTTTATGTTTATGTTGCTAATCAACTGAAGGGATCATAATAATTTCAATTTTATTTCTACTTTTGTATGGTTTTATCCTTTCTTATCTTTCCGGAATAAGGTTGTCAATTTTTTTTTAGTTATTTAATTATAAATAAAAATGTATTTTTTTAATTTACTACTTTTTATTATTTAATTAATGTATTTAAAAATTCTCTGTGTAGTCTTTATGACTATTTTTTTTCGTTGATTCTGTAATTTTATTTATCGTTTTGGAGATTTGCTGTATTTTTCTTTCTCAGTTTGTTTATTGGATTTAATTTTTTACTTGAAAAATTTTCTGCTAGTAATTTTTTTTCCAAATTTCTGTTTTTTGTACTTTCTTTTGTCGTTTTTTCACTTTTTTGAATTTTTCTGTACAATAGTATATATATTTTTGTCCATTATTTCTTGTAAAATGTTTTAAAATTTTTACCACACCGCATATATAAAGATATTTGCATGCACATTCAACTATAAATTTTTTCCTTTGATTTTTCTTCAAATCCGTTTAAATTTCTTTTGATTTCTTTTACCTATTTTTTTTCTTTTGATTTCATTGGAACTTTTCTTTTTGAGGTCTTCGATTTTTCTTCGATTATTTTGCCTTACTTTTTCATTTTTTGGAATTCATTTGATTATTTTTTTTTCTCACATTTGAATGCACTTTTGGGTTTACTAAAAAGTTGATTAGTCTTCTTCGATTTTTTTTCAACTATTCGAATATTCCTTTTCCTCTTAGTTTCTCATATATTTTGCAAATCATTTTTTATTTGATTTTTTCTTCTATTTCATTTTTCTTCAAATATTCTTTCTTCTATTCCAATTACGTTTTTCAATATTTATTTTTCTCTTCTCATTTATTCAGCACTGTTTTCTTCGATATTTTATTAACACTATCACTTTGAATAGAAATTTTTTTTTTTTATGCACACTTAAAGAATCCTTATGCAAAATTGGTCTTTTATTTTCTATAAGAGAATTAAAGATCCCCCTCAAAAAATAAAATGCACAATGATTTGAACGACTGTTCGATAGACTGGTCCTTAAAAGATTATCGATCCTCTAAAGATTGAATCTCGCCACATTACCCCGCGTGTCTTGATGTGAGAGAGGGACGAGAGGGAGGGGGGAGGGGGAAGAAAGTGTTTTTACACGCGTGTCAATGTAAATCCGCGATCTCGGACCCAATGTAAATTGTAACCTGGCTTATACACTGTCGATGCGGTAGAAAAAGGGATTCTCTTTCTCTCTTTCTTTATCTCTCGACCGCTGTTAGCTAGGCTCGAAGGACCAGACTTAGTTATTCTCTCCTTTTGCGGATCCTACCCTGCCGCGCTCACCGAAAGCACGCCGCGCCGGCTAATATAAGAAACGCCGAATTCCGCGTAACTCCGCGACGACTGCCACTCGACTTGCTTTTATCCTCCAAGCGAGAAAACGTATCAGGTATTGGCATCCCATTCCTATTCCGTCGGATCGTTTTTTTTCGCTTCGATTTTTTTTTGAAAAAATTTTATTCAAAAAAAAAATATTTTTTCTTTGGAAAATATATTTATTTATTTATTTTTAACGATGTGTGAAATGATTAGCGGATCGTTTGAAACTATGACCGGGAGAACCGCGGCTTCTGGTTTAGCTGTTGCCGGGACAAGGGAGGTCGGTGGGTGCGGAGCTGGACTGTGTGTCGTCGACGACGGCAATAGCGTGGGTGGATTTGAGAGAGAAAGAGAAATTTTATTCTAAAGTGAGAAAGAGAGAGAGAGAAATAGAGAGACGGGAATCGACGGAAATATGGGAATCGGGTGGGGCGATAAGAGGGGAGGGAAATTTCACCCTACCAGAAACGAGGAATTTGCCATGGGAAGTTTTTGGAGGGGTTTTGATAAGACGCCTGCGCAATTGAATACTCCTTGGGTTTCTCAAGTGTGCGCGATATCACGAGGATTCTTTAAACTGCAACGAGGTTTTCTGATAAGTTTCCTTTTTTTTTTTGCTTTTTTAAAATTCGATGAAATTTGTGCGATTGGATATAACGTTTATATAATTTGTCAAAAAATAATAAAACGATTTAAATTTTTTTATTTGAAATTCACTTAATGGAAAATATTGAATTTTATTTCTTTTTTATTTTTTTTTTTATATACTTGTTTATCGGTACAGTCAAACCTGGATAATTCTACACTATTTTGAAAGCAAAACCTGAACTGTACGGAGTTTCTGCGCATTTCTGATAATTTTTACTTCGAAAATAGTAAAATTTACTATACAAAAATAGTAATTTTTACTCTTGAAATAGGTAAAAATTATTCCGGAAATAGTACACCTAGAGAAATGATATAAGTGCATATTAAATATTTATTTGATTCAAATAAAAAAAATTTATTTACGCCAAATAAATAGGCTAGCTTGCCTCTGAGACAAATATATACGTTTATTTAACTCAAAAATATTAGATTTAATTCAAATAAAACATTTCTCTATAGGTATATTTGATTTAGAAATAAAAATTACTTGATACAAATAAATACATATATATTTGATAATAGTCAAATAATACCGATTATTTTGAATCAATCAAATTTTTTTCAGTGCTTAAAAATGATTATCGAAGGTCTAACTCATTAGGGTCAGGGAAAAAATTTAAATTCTCACTTGAAATGATGGAAAAAATAAAATTTTTGTTTCAATATAGATAATAATAATATTTGGTTCACTTAAACCAAATAATAATAATGAGCTTCTTTTTCAGTGTAATCAATTTCACTGTTATGATTGATATAATGAAACTTAAAAAACAAAAGCAAAAAAAAAGAATGTCGAAAAGAATGTTGCAATAAATTTGCGGCTTGGCGATTTATGATGAAAAATCTGACTTAAATTGTTGGGGAAGATAGAGACAAGGTCGTATAGTGATAATGAAAAAGGATGGGCAATAATGGTTAGGCCAAGTCCACCTTTTTCTGACATCCATATACGGGGGAGGTTTTAGTAGGTTCCGAGCTTGAAACGGGAAGCGAGACATATTTTTATTGTACGTATAGGTGAATCACTGCACCGTGCAATAATCGTGTATTAGTGTATATATACACACACATACATGAAGATCCATTTATATATGTAGGAATCACTCGTTGGATGCACTCAACGAAATTGAACTCATGGTCGTCGGTCTCGCCATCGTTGTGCACCCTCTTCTCTCTCTCTCTCTTTCTCTCTTACTCTCTCATATCGACAACAGGTAAAGAAACTTTCCAATCGAAATCATTCGGGATTCGAGTTAAAAATATTTTTCTAAATAGCCCTATACTCATTCGTTTAAAAATTTTTCATATATTTAGAAAAAAATGGAAATAAAAGAATTTTTGAAATTATTTGTATTCCTCTTTTTTTTTTGTTTAAAAAAAAAATACATGTAAACAATTGTATTTAAGTTTTCGATTTTATACACGAGTTTATCGAGTTCTTGACATCGGTCGCGACTTTTTGTCTGGCTTTTGGAAAAATTTGAGTTCGCGACACATTGCATGCGTATATATATATGTATATATATATATGGTAGGGTGAAAAAATGTGGGGCACATTGATAGCAACGAGGAATGAGAGAAGAGAGGAGGTGAGGATATCGAACCGGGGGTTTCATAGAGGCGGAGTCATCCTCAGTTGCTATGGGAACGTGACACTCTCTTTCGAGCTTTCGAGGGGTGGGGAGGGGGGGCTTTTGCGAGCTTACGGGAAGCTCTCCTCATGCCATGGCCTGTGACCGTGGGATTTTCTCGTTATATCTACCATTTTATATATATATATATATATATATATATATGTATGCACCACCATAAACTTCAACTTTTCGTCAAAACTGCTGCTCTCACATTGCTGTTTTACGTTACTGCACTTTTTGCCCCCTCACCCCCCCTCGGTTCTCTCGACAAAGATTTTTACATGACTCACGTTTCAACCCTGATAAAAGCCATATATAGCGCGTGTCATACCTTTTCGTCAATTTTCACACTTGCACTTTTTTTGGAGACAAAATGTTTTTATTGTTTAATGCAAAAAAAAAAATTATTATTTTGGTTTTAATTTTTTGAAAAAGAAATTGAAGAGAGGAAAATTATATTAAAAGACAAATTTTGGTTTTGGAATTATCTCAATTTCAGCGAGAAATTTAGATTCTGTACTCTAATTGAGGTTGTAAAATATTTATTATTTGTGTTTTTCCTATTATTTTAATTATTTAGAATTTTTTAAATTTTAGTTTCAATTTATTTAATATGTATTATTTATTTTTTTTTTCATTATTTATTTATTTTTTCATTATTTATTATACAATTCATTTTATTTATTTCCTTCAATTTTTTTTTTGTTGCAGTCAAACTTCTATTACCGGCCGTTGTGCACCTGAAGTTACCTAGTACCTTTTATACGCACCCTTAGGACGTAAGTGTTACAATATTTTTTTTAGTTATATAAGTAATTTTTCATTTAAAAAATTTATTATTAGATATTTTACATATGTAAACAAATTTTGAATCCTCATTTGGATGTGGTGGTAAATTTAAAAAAAAAACCACAATACCTGTGCATTTATTTTGACTGCATTTCATATGCTTTCGCATAGAGATTTTTGAATTAAAAATTAGAACTGTCGGAGAAGTGATTTTTTATTTTTGCAAACGTCAATACGTAACTCGGTATTGTATATTGATGTTGTAAAAGGTTCGAAAATAAATTAAACCTAGAATTTTTAATTTGCATTTATGTGTTTAGGGAATTCTCTAAAGTATTATAGTAAAAATTTTAACGAATTTCAATTATTGACATTATATAATTTTTTTACTATGGAGTATAATTTATAGAAAAAAAAGCAATGATTTCAATTAATTATAATTGCAATTAAGTTAACTAATTGTTAAACCCACTTGGAAAGATTACCCGGAAAGTGCCCCCGGGAGGTTCTATCAGAATTCCGCCGGAACTTCCAAAGAATTTCCGATTAATTTTTTTCAAAATTTTTACAGTCCTAATTCCGTCGGAACTCCGTCGGAATTCCTTCGGAAATTCTTTGGAAATTCTTTGGAACTCCGATGGAATTCCGACGGGATTATGTTGGAAGTTCCGTCGTAATTCCAAAGAATTTCCGATTAATTTTTTTCAAAATTTTTACAGTCCTAATTCCGTCGGAATCCAATCCGAAATTCTTTGGAACTCCGATGGAATTCCGACGGGATTATGTTGGAAGTTCCGTTGGAATTCCAAAGAATTTCCAATTAATTTTTTTCAAAATTTTTACAGTCCTAATTCCGTCGGAATCCCATCGGAAATTCTTTGGAACTTCGATTGAATTCCGAAGGGATTATGTTGGAAGTTCCGTCGGAATTCTGATAGAACTTCCAGGGGGTACTTTCCGGGGAATCTTTCCAAGTGGGATTAATTATACTTGCAATTAAAGTAACGAATTATAGAAAAAAAAATAACTAATTAAAATTAGTTAAAATTTCTATTAATTTATATTTAGAGATGAAAATATTGAAATTTGTATAATAAGACGATTCAAGGATCTCGTTTGATATAGTTTTCGGTGGAATCTACATCTTGTCCTGTCCTTTTCAATATTCTCAACGTAACCACACTATGAACATGTGTTCATATGTATGTGTTTTGCCGCAATTGCGTGAACGCGGTAAAAGACGTGGATAGTGAGAAGGGGTGGATGAAATTCAGAGACATATACATATATATTTGCCTGAGTGGAATTTAGATATGTGTAAAGATGACGGTGGGTGCGCTAGGCCAGAGAGCATGGATGACATATGCAGAATGTAGTCATATCTATATTTTACTTCAGAGAAAGAGAGAGATAGAGTTATATTCGTGCGAGAATTTATGACGACCCGCAAATCCTCTTTCTCTTCCCTTTTACTTTTCAAACATCCCTTTCCGCTTTTGGCTCTTTTCAACTTCCCAATTTCCCTCGCGAAACTCATATACACGAAAAAAAAGCGTTTCTGCTAGGGGAACTGGACCAAAATTGAAAAAAATTGATCTGTAATTTAAATACTAAAACTAAAAATAAAAAAAATATTTAAAAAAAATTCTGAAGGTATTTGCAACGAATATCAATATTTGGATCAATATATTGGTATCAATTTGATCCAATTCGGTTTCAATTTGATACCTTCAAAAAAAAAAAAACAGTGAATTTGTAAATATGGATAAAAATTTTTATGACGAATATTAAATTTTTTTTTTTTTTTGTGAGACAATAGTAGTTTTTTGTCAAAATCTGAAATTTATTGTAGATCTTTCTTTTCTGCCGCGGTTGGAGAAAAAGTTAATATAGTGCAAAGAGAAAAGAGAGAAAAAAAAAATCTTGCGAAACGAGACTTGTGCCATATTATCAGAGAGTATAACTTTGGGTAAGTTTTAAAAGCTCTGCCGGCGGTTCAGCATTTTTAACCTCAAGCCGTAAAAGTTAAATATTCACTTCATGAAAGGACCGTAAAGGGGGAGGTTTTTGGTAACTTGAGTAGTGAAATGAGGGTTGTGTTTGGTATAAGGTAAACGGACAGAGGAAAGAGAATTCATTACTTCGCCATCTTTTTCATCCACCCCCGCGTTGTAATTATTCAAAACTTTATTCTATACTTTATATTTCCAAATGTTAAAAAAGAAATGCGCGCTTTTGAAAAATCGAATTCTTCTATAGTATAAAATTTTTATTTTTTTTTGGTTTGTTTATTTTTGTTATGGAAAATTAAATTCGAAAGAATGAAAAAGGAAATTATATTTTCGAAAAAAATTTTTCACGAGGGCTAAAAGTGTTAAAAGAGAAAATAATGAAATCAAGTTGGTGAAGGTAAATATTAGGATATATACCTGGATTCTAAAGTGTAAGAACCAGTCCGGGCATAGGAAAACGGATATGCTTCCAGTAACATGAACAAACCAATTAGCTGGTTAAGCGGGCAAACCCCCATGAAATTCAATTGTCTTCGCCCCATGCATCTCCGAGTTAACCACCCTTATATTTTCATCCCTCTCTCTTTCTCCCTTTATCAATATATATTTTCACCCTCCTCTTTATCACTTCTTCATTTTCTCTCTTTCTCTCACTATCTCTTATATATATATGTATATGTATGTAGGTTTCATGGCTCTGCAAATTAGATCTGGCCTTCTATTATACAAGGGTGACTTTTATACTTATGATACTTTTTCCAAACCATCATTGATATATATCTATTTATCTTCAATCGTTTTAGACAAAAATATATTTAAATGTCATTTTTTTCATTATACTTAATTTAATTATGATAATTTACATAAATACCCTAATCTGGCTGAAATACTCTCTAAATATGAATCAGTGAAAAAGTCACTGGTCTCAAATCAGTCGCTAAATTCTAGCTATTTGAATCAGTGGTTTTCACTGACAGTTAGTGACATAGAGAATCAATTACTTTGACTGAAAATCAGTGAAATGTTACTGATTCAAACAGCTAGAAATTTAGCGACTGATTTGAGACCAGTGATTTTTTCACTGATTCAAATTTAGAGAGTAGGGCACCGGGGCCTAACCAGGCCCTGATCAGGCCCAGGTTTTAATCGGGATGAAGTAGGGCTTTCATCTGTGGACCCGATTGTATTCATGCGGATTTGGAGCTTCCCGACGTATGGGCCCTTTCAAAATTTCTACACGGGTATTTACGGTTAATAGAAAGAATTTTTCATATCCAAGAGGAAGAATTTCCTATATTTGAGAAAGAAATAAAAAAAAAATGTCTGGAAAACAGTTTTATCAGGTTGAAGTCAAAATTATTTAAATCACAAAAAGCATGTTTCTGCATGAACAATCGTCGTCGTCGTCCCTTTTGTAAAATGGAAAAGTTGCGTTCAAACAAGTCGAAGAAAGTTTATGTACTTTATTCGATTTCTTTCACGGTTCAGCGAAAACTTTCTTTCCAGTTGGTCAGCAAAATCTTCTGACTTAAGATTTCGGTCTAAGTTTTTACCCCTCTTTTTCTATACATATAGACAAAAGGAATCGAATTTCACGAATCAGGCGAAATCTTTGAAAATGAAATGGACATATCTTTGGAATTTATCTTTCTGTTTGTTATACTATATAGACAATCATTTTTCTATATAATAGAATAGAACAATATTTCTATAAAACATACACAAAATTGAAATGATTAAATATGTTTGTAATTGAAAAAATATAATTAAATTTAAAAATTTATTATATTTTTACAGAAAAAACAAAATGTTTAAAATATTTAAATTTTTCTTTTTATGAGTTGAGAGGATACTTTCGATTGATATCTTTGAGCTGATGTAGAATTATTATGGCCATATCGATCGCCCCATAAGCCCGTGAATTGAAAGGAGATTCAGAAACCTCACCCTGATCATTGCTGCCGATTATAGTGGATCAGTGGATCCCCATCTGTCGAGCAAAACTTTCTGACTTAATGGCACTTTTCAATGGTAATCATTGTTTACATTTCATACAAAAGAATCTCCACAATTTACGGAGTTTCAATCTCGAAAAATTAATGCGACTCCCAAACAATTATTATTGATCACAAAGTATTCAAAAAAAAAAAAAAAAGTTTTTACTTACACTCAGAGAAACGATTGGTTGTGATTACCATTTCGTTAGTAAGAATATTGTAAATAATACTAATTAAATAATTATTCCAACAAACTAATTAGCTAAATCACCTAATAAAATAGTTATGCCAACCAATAAAAATAGTAACCACAACTAGTAAATTAGCGCAGCAGTATAGATTACTAACTAAAAATGGTAACCTCAACCAATTTTAGAATGGTTTTGAATTCCATACGGAAAATTTGAAACCAGGGCCCGGTCAGTTTCCCCATTTCATCCAGGTCAGGGCCAGATTAGCGAATGTTTTTTAAAAATTCGTTTGTTTTTTCGGAAATTTTGTCAACTTGAAAGGGAGAGAGAAATCGTAATAAGAAATTTAAAGGAATAGAATTTTTGTCGATATAGAGAAAAGAAAAATTTATTCGTGAACATATAAGGCCAGTGATAATAAAAGGACTTAAGTCGGATATACATTTCATTTTGGCCAAGAGCCAATTGGCGCGATCTGTTCTTTTGAGCATTGTATCAGTGATGCGAGGACATTCCACGAACTGCTGAATAGTTATATAGTAAGGGCTTAGGGTATTAACTTTCGACATTTAAACCCCCCTTTTCCCCCCTTCAAAAGCACAGGTGGTTGACGCCCCAATGATTTATGTTTCTGTGGTTTGTTCAAACTGTCGATTCTTCTATATCATTTTTCAAAAAAAAATTATTATTATTATTATTTTTATCAAATAACAAATTCGAAATTTTTATGACGTTAATAAAATATAGGTTTGCAATAAATAAAAAAAACAGTTTTAAGTAATAAAAAAAT